CATGCCCCCCCCCCTGGAAATTTGGACACCCCCTCCCAGATAGGTCTCTGGATATATACGCCACTGGTCTGCGAGATATTTACGATCTAATTGGAAATAACTCCATTCCGGATATTATATCATTTTCTTTTCTGTCTCTATTAGTTTTTATCTTATTCCGGATAAGGTATCTGCCGGCACTGAACTGATAATTAATTGTGAGAATTAAGAGAAACACCACGCTTAGCTGTGAAGTTCGATAGTTATTTCTGTTGGACTATGTAACGCATACCAGGTTATTACACAAGTTAGACGCTATATATATGACGTCACAGTGATCCGAATCAGATCATTTCAGGACAAGTTTTTAATTAATCATATCATTTAATACATGCCGTACGTGTTACAAAGCCCGATGCCGTTCATTTGCTGAAATTTTGAAATAAACACACATTCTCTGACGTAATTGCATATACCTTTGAAAAACGGGATTTTATACAACTAATGTTAGTGTTGTAAACATCTTAAATAGTGACCACAATGTGTAGGTAAGACTAAATCAACACAATCACCACTATGCTAGCCCCAGGTGTGTTTACCGGAGGTCTCGTATACGTAAAGCATATAGTGACCACAATGAGCCCCGAGATTGTACCTGTTCGGGGAATGAGCCATCCAGGAAATATCGTCCTCTAATGTTACCTTGCGCCCTCCTGTTGTATACCGATACAGAAGGTCACGGTTGAGATGTAGGTACAATCTCGGGGCTCAGCCCCATAAACTAAAGCGTGAATATAACTGTAAACCTGGATGTGCTTCAAACTCGGATGCAATTTGAGCAAACGGAGAAAGTTACCTCCTAGTGTCCCTTTTACACTATCGACCGAGCGAAAAAATATCCAAATACCACGACCAATTCTGGTGCAGATGAATACAACGCAATTGTAATTTTAACTTTAATCCAAGTCTATCCTGTTTAAGTTTGATCCATAATTTTGAGAATGGAAATAAAATTGGCAACCAATTTTCTTAATTATTACCTAAATCTTCAAACAGTAAAATCTTTTAACAAAAAAAGTCAAACAGATGCGAAAAAAACCGTTTTGAAAGCAATATCTTCTACAATATTTCGATAGAGTATACACTTTTGTTAATCTGAAAAAGGGTTTTGTCACTGAGATTACTGGCCTACAGTGTAATGTTAGCGTGCAACGTCAACACGTGCAGTATTTGTCTTCGATATGAACTGCAGCAGTTTCCTAAAGTAGCAATCGCGCTATCAGCTACACAAGGACTTCCAAGACTGGAAACTGTAGAGGAGGAATCCTCTTGTCCAAAAAACACTAAATAACGCGATATATTATTAATTATAACGACACCGGATATTGCAACAGAAGCCCACTTCATGTGATCATCGCCCGCCTGATAGCAATATCCGGTGTCATTAACACTGCTTTAAGGATACTGTAACCTGTTGTGATGTCAGACATGCCTATGTGAAACACGAAACACAAGTCTGAAATAAACTGCATTCTACCACAATACGCTGTGTTATTCCACTCTCAGATCATTGTATAAGCACGCAGACTGTTAGATAAATATGAGTTATATACCCCAAGTGGTATATGACTTTCAAGAGTTTTGATTGGTCGAGAAGATGAACTTTGACCGAAAAGACTTTTTCCACGTGCTTTTTGCCACCTGCTGTTTTGTTTACGTCGTCGGCTGTCAACATCCGACAAATGTTGGTGACTTTGTGAGGTTATGCGGAAAAGGGGGTTATTAAGGCAATATTAAAAGATGATACTTAAAGATTTGATCGCTAGTTTCAGGCAAAATTGCTACAGACGCACGATATCGTTTTGACGTCACACCGTCGCGTGTCCAGGTCGTGAAACCAAAACAAGATCGATCTGTCACAGTGTCGGGAAATATTTCGTTCTCCCAACTGGCGTCCCGTTATCGCTATTTAGACGGTCTGACTATGGCTGAACTTTCACTATAAACGTCAACCATAGAACCGTCACGACGAAACGTAGGCCTATGGTTTTGGATATTGACAGCGATAAGTTCGTCTACAAAGGTGAGTTACGGCGAGTTCATCACTTGGCGGGAGGCAGACTTCGAACGATATGCTTAGGCGCACATAGTCCGTGGTTAATTTATATAAATTAATGCAATACTGCTACTCTCAATATTTAAAGTCGTTCATCTATTTTATTTTTTCATTAAGTTGTTGCCGAAACATTAATTTTGACAATAATTAAATTTGTAAAAAAAAAAGTCATTTTTGAATATTAATGAGTGACTTTTTACATACTGGCCATATCACTACGCCAGACTTGTTCCTGAGTATGGTATTTATTTCACTCTCGTGAGTTAATTTTCAAAAGTTACAGAAAGACACTCGCTTGAGTGTCTTTCTGTAACTTTTGAAAATTAACTAACGAGAGTGAAATAAATACCATATTCAACAACCACTCGTTGTGTAACCTCTATTTAATTACGGTTGCACCTGTGCAGTAAATATACAAATTTTATACAATTAAGATGACCAGCTTGTGGTACAAAACTGCAACTAGTGACTTACATGGAAGGGTTTAACATATATCCTTTTAATCATAAAACTACTGATTAATTCAAAGGAAAGAAATGAATACCTCCATCAGTGGGGTAAAGTCATAGTCAGTGGAAATTATTGTCTTTTTCATGATACAGACTCTGAACAGCAATGTACATGTGTTGTGTAAGCTTTATATATTTTGTATACCTGGGTATGGGTCAGGTTTTAAATCTTTGATACCTGGGGCGTTAATTTTGTACCTGTGATGGCCTTTTTAAATCTTAACTCTTAACTTACTAGCCACAACCTTTCATCATGGCACTTTGGGCCTAGATTAAAAGCCGATCCTGCATCAATTTAACACTATAACTTAATACTGATGCTCTGCATTGTTTACCAGTAAGATACCTGTATTTAAGCTTGGTGACATTCACTATTAACCTTGATCAACAGCAAACAACATCTGGTGTAAATCCTTCCAATACAATATGTATCGATTGTGAAACTATTTACAGAACAGAAAGTATCAAATTTCACTGTCTTGCCTTGACACAGCTCTGTAGACTCCAGTTAACCAGCCATGGTCTTGACGGTCAAGCTTGCGTGCTTCCGACAGATAACTGCATGAACTGAAAAGTGAGATACCTAGTTGATGTAGTGTTTTGTTATTGTGTATACAAACTTGATAGATTAAAGATGAACGCAAGATACACACCTTTAAATTTTGGCGATTGGTGAAGTATGCCAAAGATGAATGACACTGCACCATACAGCCGTTTCTTCCTTCTAAAACTGTTTGGTGATGCAAGGGTCCAAAAAAATGGAAATCTGACAAAAAAGTGGAAATCTGAATTGGTCTAAGCCACTGTTGGAGGCGCGGTAGTCTAGTGGTAGGACGCCGGGCTCGTGACCGAAGGGTTGCGTGTTCCAGGCACGGCACTGTGTTGTATCCTTGAGCAAGATACGTTACTCCACTTGTTCCAGTCTACTCAGCTGCAAATAAGTACGTGGTTGGGCAGTGCTAGAATTGTAGAATGCTAGCTGTGAGCGCCGAAATGACAGCACCGGTTGTATGCTCCCCAGGGAGTTGAGAACGATATTGGCTGGTTGCAAAGGCCCTATAACCACGGATAATAATTTGTGAACCGCTTTGAGACGACCTACGTTATGATAAAACGGTATATAAAAACCTCGAATTATGATATTATTATTATTATTATTATTATGTTGAAACAGAAGGGAGGTACAATAGAGGAGTACTGGATAATTTCAAATTAATGTAGAGCAAAATGTGTATAGCATGAACCGTATCAACCCTCTAAAAAGATTACTGTGTCTACATTAAGTTTACGGCAAACCTGGGTGAGTAAGTAATACCAGTGTACAATGTACCTCCAACAGATACAGTATCTCATTAAGTTATTACTAACATGCACATTCATGCTCACGCGTCCGTAAATATTCTTACGTACAATATACAAATATACAGACATGCCTTCACTTGAATGTGTTCGAACTTTCCTGATGACGTTGGTTTTATGTGGTACAAGCTTAAGCTTTAACCGTTACAACACCAGACTTGACGTAAAGACGAGACAGAGACCCACAAGGTGACAGTTGAAATCATCATAATCGTAAAATGCTTGTAGTTTCCACTACCTTTCTGATATTCCCGTCAGCTCTAATGCTTTATATGATACCAATTAACGAGGGTGACCAAACAAATCTAATTTACATAGATATTTTTTTTTAAAAATCCGGGGGGAGGGGGATTTAGTATTGGTCAGAATAATTAACAAATAACATAAAATCATAATTTCCAAAACCGTTTTAATAAAGAATAAAATGTAATACTTAAGTACAACCATAATCACATGTGTTAGCACCTATCGTTAGCACAACCCAGGTAACATTATCTAACAACCATCCCTACAACAGGGCTTTTCCATAATCACATGTGTTAGCACCTATCGTTAGCACAACCCAGGTAACACTATCTAACAACCATCCCTACATCAGGGCTTTGCCCAATCACATGTCCATGTAACATAATGTAAACAAAAGTTCGAAAATAAAGGTTTTTAATTTTGTATGGCTGTAATTTTTGACAAAGAAAACAGTATAACAGACAAAATAGCACAAAATGAGTGTCAAATACATTATTGCTAGACCAAAAGATATTGGGTGTCAAATAAATTAAACAATACAAGACAATATTGTCATATTAATATTAGAAGATATAAGATGTCAAATAGTTTAAACAATACAAGACAATTGTCATATTAATATTAGAAGATATTAGATGTCAAATAGTTTCAACAATACAAGACAATTGTCATATTAATATTAGAAGATATAAGATGTCAAATAGTTTAAACAATACAAGACAATTGTCATATTTATGTTAGAAGATAATAGATATCAAATAATTTAAACAATACAAGACAATTGTCATATTTATGTTAGAAGATAATAGATATCAAATAATTTAAACAATACAAGATAAGTAGTGTCAAATTAATACAAGATAATGGGTGTCAAATAAATTAATACTCCAAGATAACGGAATCAATGGGTACTTAATAAATTGATAAAACAGTCAAATAAATGAATCAACAGTACGAAATAATGGGTTAAAATCAACAGTACAAATTATTGGAAGTGACATAAATTAATACTAGAAGTTAATGGTGTCAAATAAATTGATACTAGAAGTTAATGAGTAGCCAAATAAATTGATGCTAGAAGTTAATGGTGTCAAATAAATTGATACTGAAGTTAATGAGTGTCAAATAAATTGATACTAGAAGATAATGGTGTCAAATAAATTGATACTAGAAGTTAATGAGTGTCAAATAAATTGATGCTAGAAGTCAATAGTGTCAAATAAATTGATAGTTAATGGTGTCAAATACATTGATACTAGAAGTCAATAGTGTCAAATAAATTGATAGTTAATGGTGTCAAATACATTGATACTAGAAGATAATGGGTGTCAACATAAATTGATACAAGAAGTTAATGGGTGTCAAATAAAATGATACTAGAAGATAATGGTGTCAAATATATTGACAATAAAAGTTAATGGGTGTCAAATAAATTGATGCTAGAAGTTAATGGTGTCAAATAAATTGATACTAGAAGTTAATGGTGTCAAATAAATTGATACTAGAAGTCAATGGTGTCGAATAAATTGATACTAGAAGTTAATGGTGTCAAATAAATTGATAAAAGAAGATGTCAAATAAATTGATACGTTAATGGTGTCAAATAAATTGATACGTTAATGGTGTCAAATAAATTGTTACTAAAAATCAATGGCGTCAAATAAATTGATACTAGAAGTCAATGGTGTCGAATAAATTGATACTAGAAGTCAATTGGTGTCAAATAAATTGATACAAGAAGTCAATTGTGTCAAATAAATTGATACTAGAAGTGAATGGGTGTCAAATAAATTGATACAAGAAGTCATTGGTGTCAAATAAATTGATACTAGAAGTGAATGGGTGTCAAATAAATTGATACGTTAATGGTGTCAAATAAATTGGTACTTAAAATTAATGGTGTCAAATAAATTGATACTAGAAGTTAATGGTGTCAAATAAATTGATAAAAGAAGATGTCAAATAAATTGATACGTTAATGGTGTCAAATAAATTGATAAGTTAAGAAGATAATGAGTGTCAAATAAATGAACACTAGAAAATAATAGGCATTAAAAGTTAATAGTATAAGCCAACAGGTTTCAAATTAATAGTAAAATATAATAGGAGTCAAATAAATCCATAGTACAAATAACGGATGTCAAATTAGTTCAATCTTAAAGATAACAGCTTGGTATAGGAAGATAACCATCACAGTTTATTGGGAAGAAAACACGAACATAATTTACTACAACTTCTCATAATTTCCAAGAAATTTAATACAATCACTTCAATTTCATTTTTCCTATTGTTTAGTTAAGAAATTGCACAAAACATATCACTTTTCATTTGGGGCTTGATAAATAACAAAATAAATTGAAAACATAACAAGCACTCGCTCTATACACACCTCATAAAGGTCCAGCTTCGCACTGATAACACTTATGTTGGAATTGTTCCAGATGCAGTACCAGGAAATTTTCATTATATACTCAATTAATTAATTAAGATTAAAAGAAATTTGTAAGGGGACAGAGGGGTGGGGCTCAAAAGGGGAAATACAGGTAAATCAATAAAATCCTTCATTTACGATATCAATTGAGGAATTTTGTCCCCACCCTTATATCGATTATACAGTTACTAGGCATGAAGAGCATGCTACCAGGATTGGCCCGGAGGTCTTGACCCACACCTGGAGACTACCTCTCTGGGTCATAATATTGAAAAAGTTGAGATCCCGAGGCAATAATCCTATACAAAACTGCTGGGCATGAAGCACACACTTATGTTCTTGGTTTCTTACCCACCCAAACAGATTTAGTTCTTCTTGCAGCTTGAACTTCTTTGATAAACTGGTAGTATATAGTACTTTGCAGGTTTTATATTTAAAATAAACTACAAGGTGAGCTATTAAGACCTTGGGCCTCTTGTTGTCTGATATAATAAATAAAAAGATATTTGACAGTATATTGCAGCTGAATTTCTCCAATCCTTAGTGATGCATATATGGTACAGTAAACCCTGAACTTCCTCACTTCATAAGGAAGGTGAAGGGTTTTATTGATTTACATCTCTGGCCTCTATTTTGCCACATCCCACATGCCTTTCATTTATACAAAATGTAGTTATCTTTGCTTGCATGTTCTCTTGTTTTAAATCCATCCATTCCTATTGAAGGAGAAAGGTTTTTCCTTTATTTCCCCTATTATGCCATGGGGGTTGGCAAACCTCCATTTATACAAAATTGAGACTCCCCTTTGCCCAAAGATGATCTATTACAAATTAAGTTAGAATCACTCCATTGATAAGGAAGGGAATGATTTTGAAGATTGACCTCTATTTCCCTTATCTGGCCCCACCCCTCTGCCCAAAGATGCACTAATTTAGTTAGTCACTCCATTGGTATAATAAAGGAAGGAAAAGATTCCCCCCCTATTTGGCCCTGCCCCTCTGCCCCCCAAGAGGGGGGGGGGGGGATTACCATTTGTTTATATAAAATTGAGAATCCTTTGACCAAGGATGCTTCAAACCAAATTTAATTATAATCTACTGAGCTATTAAGGTACAGTAGAGTTTTAAAGGAAAAAGTTGACAGATGACCGATGCTTCGTTACAGCATAAGCTCACTTCAGCCAGGTGAGCTAAAAATCAACAACATAAAAAAGGCTTGCTTTTATATGTTATGTAATATCTGTATATTAAATAGTGGTGAGATTAATTATGTACAAAACAGTAGTCACACACATTTTATCAGTACATAAATTATTCACAAATACATATACATCTCATTTTTGTTATTGAATAATTACAATTTGGCAAAACTATATGAAGAATATTAAAGATCTTTCAAAACATGTGTAAGATGGGAAAAACAACCCATAATCATAAATGTGTAGTTTTGATACAAAAACAAGTAATGATAGCATTTCCTGCATATTTCTCCACTGACACAATGATATCGTAGTTACAAATCTGTTACTGTCAAATAAATATGAAAGACAAACCGCATTAATATCAACACAAACGTACTATAAATAATTGGGGGTTCCTTTTTTCGACTTCTTTTAGCAGTAACAAATTAAATATGGGGGTCCAACTTTATACTTCTCAAATCCCAACAATGAGAACTCAATCCGCAGTTGTGATATAAGCACTTCTAAATAGCATTTAATGCTTGACTAGAAAAATTCAATCCAAATGTTGATACATATTAGATTGAAAATGAAATACCTTTGAAATTGGACGGTTTTCTAGTTTTAGTTGCTATAGAAAGGATGGATCATGGTATTTAAAATACAAACCACAATGACAAAGTTGTTGTTTGATGCCGTCATCGCCTTTTAAAATTGTGTGTAAACAAGATATCTGGAAAGAAAAGAATGTTATTGAAAGTAAAAGAAAGAATATTTGTTCTTTTTCAAATACCGTACACCTGAAGTCTGACTGTTGGCAGATGAAGCAATCTTTTTGTTCTACTGCTATTTTAATATCATACCTTTGGTAATTGAAAAAAAAATATGTTTCCAAAATTTATCTTTAAAGTATTAAACATAATATTCCATTTAAATTTTAAACATAAAACAGATTAAATATTTTGTCATTTGACGGACATATGATACAATAATGACAACAGATCATATGTCTGTGGTGTATTAGACACTCACCTTCTGATACTCCAGCCCTATCCTTGAACATTTCCTCTGAAATTTTCCTATACGATGTGTACTTTCTCCGAGGAAAGACAATAGAAGGATCCAACAGACAACATTCAGTCATTTTAGAAATAGTTGATGACTTTGTAATAGGTTTCACCGATAACTTCCCACGAAAATTGGTCTTTGATGTCTGAAGAGCAGATCCAACTGATGGTTTTTCGTGAAAATCAATCTTAGATGATGAAGAGTTTGACTCTGATTTTTGGTGCCCCCCTGATTTTTCCAGATTCTTGGGGGAATAAAAATATATATATATATTTATATAAGGAGTAAAAGAAGTTGGGACCAAAAAAGAATAAATTAACATGAATATGGAATATTTTGTTTATTTTTGTTCTGAAAGTGCTTATCAAATATACTGCAAATGAATCTAAGCTTGTTTTCTAATCCCTCTGAAATGACATGTCAATGTGTTATAACCATGCATGATTATTGAATAATACTGTTCAAACTATACTGCAATAGGATCTAATTTGTTTTAGCCCCGCATGCTACAGAGCGGGAGCTTTACAGAGCGGGAGCTTCAGACCGGGAGTGTGTACCAGTTACAACAGTAGATGCGTCAATAGTAGTCGTAGACCAATAGTATGATGTCGACAACGGTGAGTTTACAGTGAGTTAAAACATTATTACAATGATGAGGTGATCTCTGTTGTCTTTATTTGTCATAATTCATACAACAGTATTATTATCAAAACCATGATGCATGCTTTCCCCTGTATTACCTCAACACTGATATCCTCCTCCACCTCAGTAAAGTCTTCTGGCACTATCTCATCAGAATTAACCTCGATGGATTCATTGAACTCCAACTCATCCTCAAAACACGGGCGAGGTACACAGGTCAGATTGACCTGTCACAACACAGCAGGTAGAATAAGGAGTGAACACACACACCTTAGCTGTACATTGGAATATCAGCTTATTACTGCGTCATCATGTATTGTTTTAAAACATAATTCATCAATAACTTGCTATAAGAAAACTGGGGGCAAGTAAGAATTACAGGGGGTGAAAGTATAGGCATATCCTTTTGTTTCATACTGAACTCCTACTGCAGTTAGAAGCAAGGAGTTTCCAAAGAAAAAAATCCTTTATACAACAAACTTTTCATAAATTTGAATTTAAAATATACTAGCGGAAAAAAGAAACTGTGCATGCGGAGAATTGTTATAGAACATGTATTACTAACTGTATATACATGAAAATTCACACACATGACCGAGTATGACACATACACACTATCCATGTGTCATTGACAGTTTTTCCAGTGCTGTTTGCTCTCTATAGGCGTTGACCAGTTTGCATGTTTTTCTCGTTCAGCCATCCAATTCGACAATGAAAGTTTATTTTTCAACTGTTGGGTCACTCTGTTGAGACCAGTGAACAGTAAAAACAGCATTATAATGTTTTAATTTGTGATTATTGCTATGCCGAGGCTCAATGAAAATGACCGCCTCCGGATTATTGGTATGCTTCAAGCTGGTATGGGCCAAGCCGTTGTCTTTACACGTTTTCATGTCCATCAAAACACAATCCGGGATTTGTGGAGACAACATCAACAGTTTGGCCACGTCGACGATCGACCTCGCGCGGGACGTCCACGTGTTGTGAGGTAACGTCAACAGGACAACCATATTCGGCTTGTCCATTTGAGAAATCGCTTCCAAACAGCAAGTTTGACTGCACGGACAATCCCTGGGTTGCTACCAATAAGCCCAAGAACTGTACGGAACCGATTGCGTGAACGAGCTATACGTCCGCGACGTCCTGCAATGCGCCCAGTTCTTCTGCCACAGTATTGACAGCCGTTTCAGAGTGTATCGTTGCGTTGGAGAACGTTTCCGTGACGCGTGTGTGGTTCCATGACGTTCTTTCGGCGGATGCAGCGTTATGATTTGGTGCGGCATCACAGCCAATGGGAGAACGCCTTTGGTGGTTGTTAACGGGAATTTGAACGCGCTACATTACCGTGACGAGATCCTCCGGACCTACGTCGTTCAATTCGTGCAACGTCACATTACGCTACAGCAGGACAACGCCAGGCCACACAGCTCGTGTCGCTATGGACTTTCTGGCCCAGCAGGACGTTGACGTGTTGCCCTGGCCTGCTATATCCCCTGATTTGTCGCCCATTGAACACGTCTGGGATGAAATGAAGCGCAGATTACAGGCATTACCTAATCAACCGATGGCGTTGGCTGATTTGGCTGCAGCATTGGTACAGATCTGGAATGCCATCCAAGAAGCATTCTTGAACCGCCTGATAGGCTCCATGCGTCGACGTTGCCAGGCTTGCATTCAGGCAAACAGTAGACATACGAGGTATTAACATTGTGAACTCAGTATTGACCCCTGCTGTGTTTACGTCACTCCTGAGTGGAACTTATTGATTCCATAACGTGGAAAACGGAATGCAACTGTTAATAAATAACAAATAAATTGTCCCTGAAAACCTTGTTGTTCTACGTCATACACCTTTATTTTTATAACACATTTTAGGCATGCACAGTTTCTTTTTTCCGCTAGTATATATTTTTTACAAACAATTTTTACGTTACCAATTTTTTTGAAAATTTCCGTTAAAGACATTCATTAAATGAATTTCTCATCTTAATAAAAACACACACTATTTTCCCCCCTAGTTTACATATATAGCAAGGATCAACACCAATTTGCTACAACTTTTGACATGTAAACCAAATCACAAAATATCACAATTTTGAATTAAACAATAGTACACAAAAAGGTTGCTCAATAGCCATTTTGGGCTGTATACATGGCTGAAAAAAACCCAAGCAGGGACCAATTAAAAGATGTTGAACATTTATATGCTTTGGGTACTGAACCTTTTTACATAAACTTAAGTTACATACTTCTGGTCTTTGAAACCGTGTCTGAGTTGAAGCGACTGGAGTACTCGTCAAGATCTTTCCCGAGTTCACACTGTCCTTCTGAAATCAAACCATACATACAAGTGTGTCCAGGTAATATCTTCGAACAACTAAAAGCCTGTTATCTCAGCAAGTTCCAGCCCCATATAACTAATCTTAATCTTTGGACCAATAGCTATAGGAAAAGCTTTTTTTTAATTTATTTTTTACACATAATGACCATGTGACCTAGAAAGTCGAAAGTGATTATTTTTATTTAATAACTTGATAGCCCTTTAGAACAGCAATATACAGGATAAAAATCTCTATTCTAAATATTACCATTCTTTGTGAAAAGTTGTTTCAAGGTTTTAACACATTTGATCCTGGATACATTGACGGTGGGATGTATGATTTTAACAGTTTAATACACCTTTCATCAAAGTGAGCTTAAAGACAAATGAAGGCCTACTGGGTCATTAGAAGAAGCTGATTTGAGTCCCCCCCTCATCCACAATATATTTTACCCATGACCTTAGTAAATCCAGTAATTTACATGAACTAAATTCACAGATGTCCTTTGCTACAGGCTACCTGTAAATATGATAAATCTTGGCATTATTGGTCTTTAGATCAAACTGTTTGAAATTTTTAAACATATTTGACCCTCATCTACCTGGTAAAAGAGTAAAGAAATAACTTTGGACAAACTTGATAGCCCTCCACCATAGAAGCTTACAAAAGCCATTTAAAGAAAAAGATGATGCTGACTACATATGTGCGAATAAGCTCTGCATGGAGCCTGGCACATTACTAGAAGAAGAATGGACACTGCATCATACGTAGGCTATTTCACCTGTTTGTGCTGTGTGAACTAAAACCACAACAGCATCAGAAACGAAGATGCAGCACAGACATCATACATTATCAAATGATCATTATTTTTCTTACAAACCTCTTTCCATATTGAATTAGGTCCACTATCTAAATAAAGGTGTTTTTTTCCACTTCCTGTCTTCGCTTTCTTGACAGGGCCATCTCTTGTTATATCCAGGTGGTCAGAGTTATTCACTAGAAGAAAATTAGGATGTGGTAGTTGAACACTTTCATCTCTCAAGGCTTTCACCCGCAAGGAAAGTATCTCTGAAGAATAAGATTGTTCTTTTCTCCCCTGTGTAGAGTTCATCAATGTCAAGAAACAAAGCACAGCAGTACTGCACTCCATCCTGGGGACCTTTTTGCGCAATTTATTCCCTTGTCAAAGTTTCAAATTATTTTTTACCCATTAAAACCTGTGTTGACCTTTGAATCTGGTCAGTGATCAGAGTTGATTTTTGACCTTAATACAATATACCAGGAAAAGATTTGTACAGCTTGACAAAACATACAAAGCGTAATGATAGATTTTCCGATGATGACTGATTTCAAATTTTTAACATTTGTTACTCCCATGACCTTGAAAGTAGGTTAAGGTCATTTATATGAGGAAGCTATAGAGCATTCCGTCCTAGGTAGTAGGTACCTACTAGTCAAATATCATGACCCTGGGTCTTTTGAAATTTAAGACGACTTCTAAAGCTTTTTATCCATTATAACTAACTGATGGTGACCCTTGACCTCTTACAAATTCTCAAAGTTGCCCTTTCACCTTAACACAATATATCAAATTTGAAGTATTTGCCTCGGTGACCTGTTTAACACGCCTATGAATCATGCCTCATTTATTTAATTTTTAATTTTTATCATATCTCATACTTGTGACAGTGAAAGTGGGTCAAGGTCATTTATTTGAGGGAAATATATAACACTAAATCCCTGGCAGCATTAGCCAAATAACATGTCTCTTAGTTTTCATGCAAAGAAAAAGTAAACGATGGACTACCTATGGACAACAAATGCCACATCATATAAGTTAAGTCGGGCACTCTGTACTAGGTGAGCTAAAATCTATTAATCTCCCGACTATTTTTCTATGTGATCAATTTCCTTTCTGTTCAAGACCCGATGAACTGCATAAGGAAGAAAAATCAGGAATGCTTTATTACTGGATTATCTGACAGGCCATAGTCATAAACAGTTCACCAGATATAATGTACTGTCTTTGATTTCAGAGTAAAATATTGAGAGATCACCTGTGTTTTGTGAACTTAGGATGGCTGACAGTGAAGGCGTAGGATTGATCAAATCCTCTGTACAGCTGGACACAAACAGAACTGTAGAACTCTTAGGTAGTAATCTCCTCTTCTTCTTGTTGATCACACTGACGGACTTCATGGGAGTTCTGTTGAAAGTGAAAAATATATTTCAGTTATGGGTTGGCTGTGAAAATAAATTGTATATGTTAGATTAAATAAATAGTTTTGTGTTTCCTTTTTCACACATTTTTTTAAAATAGTATAATAGTAATCTTATATTTTTGGGAGGATTAATTTTAGACAAGCACCATTGAAGTATATAAAACATGTCTCTATAGAGAGATGAAACCAGTTTGCAACAATATGCATAGCACATGAAAAGTTTAGCTGATTTACCAACCTACCCTAATTAAGGAGCCAAAAGCAAAAACTCGACATAATCATCTGTGGCCTCATGCCTTCTTTCTTCAAAACTTAAAGATACTTATAGTATTTCCTGGAACAGGATCTGCATGTTGTGGAGACCTATCAGACTCAAGCACATAATTAAGGCTATAGAAATGTACATATCTTATTCTGAAAACAAGGATTGGATTATTTTGATGTTCACTTTGTACACATTTGTACAACCTCTGAACTCTCCAAAGAGGAGGTCTACCTAATTTGACTTCTCAAAAGTGGAGTAAAGTCATATTAAGACTGTGTGAACAATTTCTGTGGCATTTTTGTCCATGGAGAATGTTATTCCAATGTTACCTAGAAGAGAATCTGAAGGTTTAATGAAACATTTCCATGATATGACTTACACAGCGTCTGGTTTAGTCTGTCTTGCCTTTGGAGTTTTTTCCTGTACGAGTTGTATGTGCCCTTGTCTATCTGTGTAAAAGAACATAACGCTTTAGTTATTCTGCTCCCTCGCCTTTTCTACACTTTTTATACCTACTCAAATGTTTCGACTGCTCTGTATACACTGAAAGAAAGGTTAGCTGTTTGTTCTTTATAGTATTATGGCCGTATGATAGGAAACCATCAACTTGGGTGTGCAGACCTTCACTGAACAACACCCACTAGCAGACATTGGATCTCATTTTCCCTGGTATTTTATAGTCTTTGTAGAAATACTTTTTGAAGCAAAATCATGTTTAACAGGGTAACTACCAGGAACTTATAGTACTGAGGCTAAAATTAAATAGCTTTTTTACCAAAAGAAGAGATTTTTACCTATCTAATGAATGTCTGCAATGAAATTATAGAAATAAGATCTATCTCTGGCATAAAAAGCTAAATGGGCCTGTATTACTCACCTGTTGTTCAATATGGTAGGCAAAAACACTCTCTTATGTGACCTTTAAGGTAGGCCAAGGTCAAATTTATTTAAATAAAGTTGATAACAAGCAAGCCTTCATGCCCCCTGTTACCTTAAAGGTGAGTCAAGTTCATTCATTTGAACAAACTTGATAGTTCTTCATCTCAGCAAGGCCTGTTGATTGTAAGGTGTAGTTTCAGAGTTTTAATATTTAACCTTCATGACCTTGAAAATGGAGCAGGGTTGCCAACCTCTTAGGAGTCCAGTGTGGGAGATCTCCCTCCACTGGGTTTTACAATGTGTGAGACTTTTGACGGCGTCGCGGCGTAACGTCGTTTTGGGTGTTAAGATAACATTTACAAATGTATCAAACAAATCCTGGCTTTCTCTGACTACTATAGCATCTGCATTGTTGATATTTTCACTTCAAGATCTTTGTAGGAAAATAAAACAAAACATTTTTTGTAGATATATAAAAGATTTTTATTTATCACACAAAAAAAACTGACATCAGAAATGCAACACATTATATAATTAAAGGCCTTTCTTGTAACGATTCCACCCTTGGCTAGAACAGGTACCAGTCTTTTTTTTCTGTATTTCCATGACCTGTTAAAAAAATAACAGTTCATATCAAAAGTAAGAACTTTACCATAGTAACATGAAAAAGTTCATAACATGAAAGATAAAAAAATATATGATAATTTGACAGTTGAAAAGTATTTTACAATTACTTCTGGCTACTATCCTAAGCAACAAATAACAGTTAGACCCTTAGCATTTATACCACGTTTGCAATCCGATTTGTTGCATGAACATGTATTTGACTACCTACGTAGTTTGTCTATCCAACATGCCAAAGCACTTCCCGAAACTCGTTATTTTTTCATCGCATCAGATTAAAATTGTTTATTACTACAAGTCTCAGGTGTGTTAAATCATATACGCCACTTTACTGCAAAAAATAACTTCAAACTTTTCATCAGCCATTAGCAACTGTCTGTTCGTGATTCAATAATCGTTTTCTCTTAATATTTGTGAAGGCAGGACCTAAAAACAATCTCCTAATACACGACGATATTATTAGTAAAACTTTCTTTTTCTGTGCGATAGGTACGTTCAATATTAAGTTTACGAATGAAAACAACTTGATTGATTGATTGATAAGTTTTACGTCCGCTTCACTACCGTGTAGTTTGGTTATTCAGCAGACGATTGTGAAAACAACTCACCTTATGATATTTAATTTACATTCGTTCCCACCGGATGTCAGCGTCAGCTCACTTCCAAAGCACAACGTTGCAATAAGAGTTATTCCCCTTTGTACGACCCAAGCTAAAAATTGCCGATTTCTGGCTTCGCGTGTGATAGAGGGAGAATATTTTCGAATGCGTGAGATTTATGGCTCACGTGGCGTGAGACATGATTATGCGTGAGTAAGGTCGTCTCTGCGTGACGAATGCGTGAGATTTTGTCTCACGCCGTGAGAGTTGGCAACCCTGATGGAGCGACATTATTTATTTGAACAACAAAAATGCTACTGGCCAAATACCATCACCCCAGGCCTCTTGGTTATTCCGACAGAAGAAGTTGTTGAAATGTTAATACAGTACATTTTAATCCAATGACATTGAAACTAGGTCAAGGTTATTCATTTGTTCATCACAGCATGCTACAGGCCATATAGCATGATCCTAGACCTCTTTGGTTATCAGAAGAAGTCGTTTATAAGTTTTAAAAGTTTAACCCTTGACCTTGTTAGAGAGTGAAGGTCATTCATTTTAACAAACTTGATATTCCTTCATCATAGCATGCTGCTGTAAACCACTGTCATCACCCTGCTGGTTATGACATCATATTCAGGGATGACACACCATTGCATAAGCTCACTTTGATCCAGGTGAGATAAAATCAGTGTAATATTCCAATGAATTAAGACCTAAGGAAATCTAAATAAAGCAGAAATGGCGTCAGCAGACAGGATTTATAGGTATTGATATACTTTTGTCTTATAATACTAATAGACCAATTTTCTAATACAGAAATGAACTTAATAGAAAATTAATATACAAAATTGGTAGTTTTAAAGACTCAATGATTACCTTCTACACAACTCAATTCTTTGATTTCAGAAACATCCAGTGAAAAGTTGGCTTTGTCAAAGTCAAGTCCACCGTTTTTTTTTGTTGAGCTTAAACAATATGGCACTTTATCAGCCATGGTCTTGGCATGATCCACACGAGTTGGTTGCTCTAAAACAACAAGAAGGTTCCCATATATTATGTCAAAATAGAAATCACCTGTAATTCTGGTTTTTACAAAATCTCCCTTTTTTTAAAAAAAAAATTGGCAGGAAGGGTTGGGATTATTGAGTGTTTTATCAATTGATACGTATATTTCAATTTTTCAATCTTCCTGATTTTTGAAGAGCTATTTTTAGTTTATTTTTTGCTGTATTGACCCATTTTTTTCAAGTTTTAAGGCAATTAAAGAAAATGTTTGGCTTTTCAAAGCATTGAGTATACAAATAACAGTAGTAAACTAACTTTCCACAGGACAAATCCTTTCAATGACTGACATGTCTGGTAATTTCATCATGTCAATATCCAGACCATCCTTTCTACGTGTTGAATTCATTCGCTGCACTTGTCTGTCACTTCCAGCTGTGATTGGTGAAGCTTTATTACAAAGAATGGCTCTCTCTATGAAATTTCAACCGAAACAAATTTCAATGTAATTGTAAAACTTGAAAAATCTGTAAGTGATTTCTTGATAGCTTCTTCCTAAGCTCAAAATTATTTTAAAACTGTGGTGACAATTGATAAATTTCCAGAGGAGAAGTCATTTTAAACAATATGGCCAAATTACCACCCTCCAGCCGCCGCCTCCCCCTTTCCCGTTTCCATTAGCCAGGAGGTCAGCCCCTCTGTTAGTACAATTTTGAGCTAAAAATATCAAGGGTAGCATTGAAATAATGTTGGGTTGTTTCATTTGACCTTTCTTATAGTACTGATTTTTGAAATATCACTGAAGCTAAGAGAAGTTGTTTTTTGATTTTATACTTACCTTTACCTTGTGCAAGGCTACTTGTGATAACGGAAAGATCCACGGGAAAATTAGCCTGGAAAATGCTGAGAGCCCCAGGCCTCTTGGTAGAGTTTAAGTAGCCATGAGACCACCTGTCCTTCTTTGTGTGCTTGGTTTCACTCCTACCCGAGTTCTGTGATATTCTCACCAAGTCGTTGTCACGGGTACCTAAACCATTGTAAGATATTTTTTTAAGATAAAATTCTTGAGAAACAAGTTACCAAATTTAAACTACCGGTAGCTGTTAACTATTGGTATGTACACCTTTTGTAATGTTTTAATAAAAGGTTAAGTTATAAAACTTGCATAAAAATTAATGACTCACTGTTAATAAAATCCATAATTCAAAAATTATCAATTATTTTCCTAAATAGAAAATATGCATGTAAAGTGGATTGCACTATTAGCCCATGTGCCAAAGAAAATTAATACATTAACAGAAATACATCAATAACAGTATTCCAAGCTTAATACATTGACCTCCTCTTACAGGACTATAGTTCCCTAGATTTAATACATTTCTCTTCCTCTCTCAGGACTTACAAATTCCCAGTCCTGACGGAAGTGTTATTGTAGTCGGAGTTCCATTCGGATAAGTTAGTTTTTAACAGCTTAATCTCCTTTCTCAGGACTAGTTCCCAAAGCTGAACACTCCCTTTCTCATCACTATTTTATCACTGAAGGCATGTGGTAATTATTCATAAAGTCACCTGAATTTGCTCGTTGACCCACGCTGGAAGGGCAGCTATTAATCTTTGTTTGACTTGCAGTATTTCTACTGGAGTGGCTAGTGGCTGGACCTGTCTGACCAGTGCCTGAATCGGTCACCCAATCATATGTGTAGGCATCACTGTTGGTTTGCTCTGTTGAAGATGACTTCCTGTTAACATTTTCTGTAAAATTGATAAAGACATCTCTATGATATTTTATCTTCCAATAACTTAGATAAATGTTAATTGCAGTAAAACATGTCTAAATTGAAGGACAATATAACTACGAGTGTTAGTGTATCAACTAATCCGAATTATTCTGACGTTTTATCAACTTTTTTTTATATCGGTCTGTCGTCGATTAACGTCAGAACTCTGGCCCTATAATATGCTTCCACACACATGTTGCACATGGATCGAAAGATCTATTCTTTACTATCAGTTTGAAGTGCGACCCAGGCGCAGGTCGCTAATTTCCCGCATATTATAGAGGGCCAGAGTTCTGACGTTAATCAACGACAGACCGATATAAAAAAAAGTCGATAAAACGTCAGAATAATTCGGACTATGTATCAACTTGCTAACAAACAGACACGACAAATTGTTACGTCTTTCAGAAACACACACTTCCCTGACTATTTCAGTCTACCAAGCAGTAGAAATGGGTATCCAAATGCTGCAAGATATATACTTTGCTTTTTACTGTCAAACTAACTATGAAGAATTTGATGCACCAGGTTTCTGTTTCAATGTAATATCTTATTTTCTTAGCCACTTCTCGTACCTATAGATACTGAAAAGAAACTGACTGAAGACCTTTGATAATAACCCAATCACCCCTAAAGTCACATTTCAACCTTACCAAATCAGAGACTGGGCAAGTCCAGTTTAAATATGCAGGGATAAACAAGTTAAATGCACCAACAGCCTTTATTTATATGTAAAATCAATCTGAATTACCTTTACTAAGAGATGAAATTCTCTCAGAACTTTGGGTTGTGGTCTGTGATGTATGATCTCGTCCCTTGACTTGACTGGCCTGATGACTACCTGGACGTGAACCACCCGTGTCTGTTACCCATTCATAGGTGTAAGTGAATTCTTCACTGGTGACAGGGTCTATGGGGGACATTAAATGTTCCTTTTTATTTTCTGAAACAAAGCAGAAATATTAACTTTGAAATTTGCATTTGGAATAATGTTATTGGTCAAAATCATTTTTAAAAGTTCTAGTTTTAATACATATCTCTGTTCCAACAAATTACGATATTGTAGTTGCCAGGAACAATTTGCAGAGATCCATACTAAGTGGTGAATTTAAAGGGAGTGCAGGACATTTTGAATTTCCTATTTTGTACAACAATTCTTGATTTTTCCTTGCCAAATGAACAAATAAATCCAAGTTAGTGTTAATTTTACATTGAACAAAGAACCAAAACTCAGTGGGGTATGAGGCTATGGTTTCAATAAATAAGAGTCAACCATCCTACCTGGTGAATGAGTACTTAAAAGATATGCTGCTGACAAGTGACTCACAGTGATTGAAGGGCTGCATGTAACTGTGTAAATTAATATGAATGCACAAGACCTGATTTTGTTATATGTCACCTCATCATCCCAAGGGATACTCACAAGCAAAACTAGGCATCTGTAGGTCAGTGAGAAAATGAGACATGCTATGTACAAAGTTTGACTGACTGACAGGGTTCAAACTTATAGCCTTCTCTGGTAGTAATTGCAGGCAACATTTTTATATACATGAACTCCAGAATTTTTGAACGTGTATTGTTAAATAAACAACAATATGACTCCCTTACACAACAAACCTTGTTTTTCATCTATACATTGTGTCTTTTTTAATGTTGAAGGTGAATGTAGGGACAGCCTAGAAGCCAGAAGATCAGATCTTGAGTGACCTTTGGACATTCCTGGTGCTGTGTGACCTGTGGACATTCCTGGTGCTGTTACAATATTGTCCGTCTCATCACTGGATTCATCGTCTTCCTCCATGACTTCCTCAGCACTCAGGTTCAGGTAGCCTGGCATCTGACATCCTGATTTGATTCCTGAATTGTGCAAACAAGTGTCACCATACAGTAAAATGAGGCTTTTTAGCAAGGTTATTGTGAATATTCTTTCAATTAACAAAGCATATCATTTCCTAGTAAAGAATGGTCTACATTGTATATAACACTAGAAAATGTTTGTAATCTTTTTATGGAAATGGAGTTTTTTTTACCTGACCTAAGTCAATGAACCAGAAAATAAAGGTCACATTTACCTACATGTCAGCTCTCCTAAACATATACTTGTATATATAATTGAATCAATGGAGCTGAAAGCAAAGTCTAATCAATAGTCATTTAATGGACAGATATTTGTAATATGTTTATTGTATAATCCATCCCGTCAAACATTTTAACTAATCAAATATTTCTTAATCATCTCTGACATCCATTCATGTTTTTTGAAAGAAATAGCATTTGTAGTAAAATGTATTCAATGTATAACATTTTTCAGAATATGTCAAATACCTGAACCTTTTCTATCAGGCTGATGTTGATTCTTGTAGGTCATTTTTGGCATCAGTAGAGATATTTTTTCTTGCCCTATGATTGAATTAAAGCCATATTGTAATTAGATTTCGTTGTTACTGTTGGATCAAGCAGTTGTTTCACCACTTTGACTTCTAATAAAATTAGCATTAGAAAAGAAAATCACTACAAATATTTATAATATGCCTCAAATAACATTTTAGCTTTTCACCTTAAAACATCTATGCTGATTGATTTCTTAAACAAGAGGCCCTGAGGGCCTGTATCGTTCACCTGGATATCTAAGCAATCATGGCAAAATATTCTCCAAATGAGATCCAAAGGAATATGCCAGACCCAAATGCCAATTCTTGTAGTATGTCTATATTAGATTTTTCATACCCAGCAATTTAATGTATGGTTATGGGGTGGGGATCTCAACTGTTTCCAAGCTGTGACTAAGAACCTAGATCCCTTGGATTGTGGCCAGACCCCAGGATCAATCTCAACCGTTTCAAAGTCATGACCCAGGGGTTAAGTCTGCAAGGGTGGGGCAGACGCTGGGATCAATTCTAATATCATGACTGCATTCGTCTCTTTATGCCAAGCATTTGTATATAAGTCTCCAAGGGTGGGGCAGACCCCAATGCCATCCTGGAAGCATATGTGCATTCATATCTTTATACTCAGCAATTGTATATATGTGGTATGCATGGTTATAGGGTGGCGATCTCAACTGTTTCCAAGCTATGACTAAGAAACTAAGTCCCTAGGGGTTCGGTCAGACCCTGGGGTCTATTCTAATACCATGGCTACTTTTGTCTCTTTATGCCAAGCATTTGTATATTTAGTTCTGGGGTGGGGATCTCAACCATTTCAAAGTTATGACCCAGCCCCACCATTTGTACAATTTTGAATCCCTGCCTCCCATTAATACTTCTGCCCCCTTTCTGCCCCTTTCTTTCCTACAGAAGAAGAAGGATTTTAAAGAATTTACTATATTTCCCCTATTTGGCCCTGCCCCTCAGCCCCCAGGGGGCCAGAAAGTTGGCGGATGCCGCGCCATGGTATAAGCTCACTTGCCCTTTGGACAGGTGAGCTAAAAATGATACGAGAAATCACACAAAAAAAATCCACAAAAACACTGAAATCTTATTTGATGACTTGTACAGTAGACCATGACAAAACTTACACTAACAATGCCAGAACACCAATACATAACAGCTACATGTAACGGGAAGTAGATCTTTTATATTGACCCTACTTTGATTTTATAACATGACAAAATAAAGGTTCCACGATACTCCAAGGGTTACGCTCACTTTTGCTCTCTGCACCCCTGGAAAGTGTCATAGCAAAATTGAAGGCTAAGTGTCCGCTACAGGTAGTTATTTGATTGGTCTCGTGTAAAAATACCTTACCAATCGCTAGGCTGATACCTGAGCCTTTGACGACTACAGAGGAGCTAGTGTTGGGAATCACTTGTAAATTCATACTCAATCATCACTTCCAATCAAGTGACTGATGATCAACTAATGATCGATCAAATTGAACTTAAATTCAGAACTTTAAGGTTGTATTCGCTTTCCAAAATCTACTTTCACTTTCGTTAACGGGGAAACCCTGACGTTAGAGAATTTCGCTAATAACACAACATTCATACAAAATACAATAAAAATGAAATTGATGATGTTTGCAATATCAATTATGCTGTGACAGCTGCATCTCGTATTCAGAAATGCCACGATGGATTGGTATTCACCTGATGACACCCCGTCAAACTTGACGTTTTATTTCTAAGATAGTCCACACTTTCGCAAAGCGTTATATTGATATCCAGCTAAGGACAAACAATACCTTCCAAACGTTTAAATCAGTAGCCCCCGGATGATCATAGAGTTTAATCACCGGAATGTCCTAGTTAGCCACAATCAGGAACCGTCGGCACTTTCCGTAAACGAGAAAATACTTGTCGAAACAGTTTCCGCTCAATAACTTCAGTAATTTTGAATAGATTCATTTCAAACTTCATAGAAAGGTTCATTTCCATGAAAGCTTGCACAAGTTCGATAACCATTATCCACCTGTTTTGTTAATACTTAAATTAGTCGAACCATAATCGATCATAGAAAACAAGAATCGAGTAATGGACTTTCAGAGACAAACAACCAGACGTCGACTAAATCGATTAATCGGAACAACACTAAGAGGAGCGACACCCGACTTCAAAGCCAGTTAATTTTACTGTTATGTGAACGAGAGATTCTTTTGATGTACATCAAAGGATCAAGCTAGTCTTCTTGTCCCATCCACTAATTGGTGCACACTTAGCCTTTAATTCTGCTATGACATATTCCAGGGGTGCAGAGAGTGAATATGAGTGTATCCCCCTGGAATATTGAGGAAGACAATATTGTAGATCTGTCTATACTGCTATGTATGGTCAGCTTACATGTCATGTCCTGGTCTCGTCTCGGAAGCTCGATACTGTCCTCATCACTATCACTACCTCTAACCTTTGTCTTTACCCAGACCTGATTGGCCTGCTCAAGCCCATGTTTAGGAGTGGACTTCATCTCCTGAACTGGTTGGCTTTCTTCTTTTCTTTGCTTTGCGTTTTCCTGAACAGGGATTCAAATTGTTATAAATGGTGTATTATTATAGTTATAAACATGCTTTTTGGTAGTTATCTTCCCAGATTAATTCACTCCAGTTTTAGATCATGTGCTGTCATAAAACATAAAAGAAAGGTAAAGAGCAATAAAATATGTAACAAGTAACGGAGCAAGACCTGGTTACCTCAGTCGACAGCTTAAATTCAGTATATTCCCAACTAAGTGCAAGTAAAGGTTTGGATGTTTTGGAATCATAGCACAATGCATAACGTGATCTCACTCTGTTACAGGTAATGTTCACGTCATTAGTTTAAAAAATATTTATTCTGATCGTAGCTAGTATACCCAATATCCTGTCCTCATTTAATCTTGCAGCTGCCCTACTAAAGCTAAGTTCAAATGTTTCTGCATAAACAATTTTTAATGTAGCCCGTGCTAAAAAGAAAGGGAAAGTATGTTTCACAGTACTAGTGTTGATATATACATTATATATGCATATATTTCAATAACTATCCTTTTCACCAACAACTGTTGTTACACAACTAAACAATGTGTCACTGTCTTATTTCACTGATTTCATTTTAATTGTTTGTAGCTAAAACGTAGTTACAACACATAAGGTGAGTTGGCAACTGTCTGTCTAATGAATATTTTTAGTTGCATCTAGGAAAATCTACTTACAGAAATTGAATACAACAGCAGTTTGTTTTATTTTTAAAATCTCACCCCTAAAGATGTGTTTAGCTGTTTCTTTGCCACTCTTCCTCTGTCAGTTTTCCTGGGCTGTCTTTGTTTGGGAGTGACATTGCCTTTCTTTCTTTGTATGGTACTTGGTGCCTTCCTGTATGTATGCAAATATGTATGAAAGGTATAGAACAAGTACCTGTATATGAATCCCTACTCTGGTATTTAAGCAGAAGTCTTTAAAGAGGACCCTCTTTTCCCTTCTACCCCCATGGGAGGCACACACTTGTTACTTATGCAACGTTGAATTGTCTAGCCAATAGATACTTCATTACAAAATTGCTTGATAAGTCAAATTTCTTACTTGAGGACAGGCATTTCTAAGATTTACTAAAATAACCCCAATTTCCCGTTTCAGGTCCACTCCTCTGTCCCTAGAGGGGACGCATTTTCTCTATACAAGTCAATATTAAATTCACTTGGCCTAGATATACTAGAGGCCAAAAAAGGTCAACTTAACTTAAGGAATAGTCTATTAAAGATACACCCCTATCCCCTCTCTTTGGTTCTGCTCCTCTGTGCCCTTCCAGCCATGTGAGGCCAACAAAATGAAATATGGCTCATTGTATCACTCACTTATTTTGTTATTTGAAACAGACGAGAAGTTGAAATATTTCCCCTTAATTGAGGTTATGGTAGCATCTTAGAGTTCTTATTGACACAAAGACTTCAAAGAACAATGCTTAGTATGAGCAAAATCTGTATGACAATTGGCTAAAAATCTGGTGGAATGAAAATAATTGGAAAACGCTTTAGCCAGAGGACAAGGGTGGTTATTATTCACATTAATAGTTTTCATTACCATTGGCCATATAGAACTTGAGAAGTTATGATGTCTCAGCCAATGAGTTGTAGGTCCAAATAATAAAAACACTTAGTCAGGTTCATGAAAGGAAAATTTTTGAAAACTTTTGTCAAAATTGCCAGGATGAACATTTTAAAGAAACTAAAAATGTTTTAAACAATCAGAGGCCCATCATGTATTTCAAATGAGCTAAAAAATATAACATCAGTCATTTGAACCAATTTTGGATAACAATCACTATAATATTAGAGGTGAAGAAGATGTTGAAAATGTTTATGTCCAATTAATTTTAGTTAAGGTGAACTAAAAAAAAAAATCAAAGATGTTACCCGACAACATTTAGTAGTCCTACAAACCCAGTAATGTTTTTTTCAAACTTTTCTTTGGTAATTAGGTTTACCTTTTATTGTCTTTAATCTCTTGAAGGTCATTAGAGTCGTCTGAAACAAATGTAATGCAGTTTTTGGAGTACCAGTTCCAGAAACATATTGAAAGCAAATCTTCACTAAGTCAAGATGATATATATGAAAAATAAAATAATTTCAAAGTTTATAGAAGACCATCAAAAATTTGTTTTCAATTTAAAAGAGTATTTCATAATTCAGAATGTCTATAAATTACATATATATATCCTTTGATCTTGGATAGGAACATGTATTCTCTTATTTGATGTTTGTATAAAGTTTAATCAAAATCCAAGAACAAATAAATTACAGTAGCTTGAGTGATGTCATTGAATTAGTTGACATTTATTTTTAATAATATTTGTAGTAATGATGACCTTGGCCTCATGATATGTCTTATTAGATATCAAAAGCTACATGAAATTTACTTTTCAACCAAATAAACCAAAATATCATAAAAATTAGCTGTTTCTACAGCAAATTATCAATTTCTTACCTGAAAGGCTGAAATTGGTATTTTCAGGAATTTTGGATGTCGCCAACTTGTTCTGTTTCTTTTGTATGAGAATCCCTCTTGGCCGGTCCTGGTTCTTGGTTCTACAGCCATAGGTCCTCAGGCCTGGATGTTTGGGGGAGAATATTGCATTTGAGTCCATAACACCTGAAGAATAAGATCACAATTTTGCACTATGTGGTAGAATGCTACTTTTTATGAAAATGTTACCTTTTCAAACGGTTTGAAACCTGAAGAAACCTAAAATAAGATATTTGTAAAACTAACTGGATACTTATGACCCCTAATCTCATACTAGTCACTCAGAGTTTTTCCATTGATAGATAAAAATAACACTAGCATATTTACCAACAGGTCACAAGACATCTTTCTTGTGACCTGAAGTTAATTACTTTCCAAACATTTTTGAATACCGAGTTATATTTTCCTCCATAATATACAAACATATGTTGATTTTATCTATTCTACAAAGTAAAATGTAATGAAAGTGTTTTTCGTGTCTACTTAAGTGTTTGTACACCTGTGATAAGCACGGTGACCTAGTTAATCGTATTATTTTAATTAGACTGGTTTTTTTGTTTAGGCTAACATTTGTCACCTAATGCCTATATGTTCATTTTACAAGCTGCAAATTTTTAACATTTCTGACCTGGTTGGCAGTTGTGCTATATTGCCTATTTAACCTGGGGAAGGATTTAACATTTTTCACCATTTGGTTGACAGGCAATAGACCATTTACTCTAACGTCATATTAGTCAAATCCAGCTGATTGACATTGCTCGTCAACACGTGAAATCAGCATTTGACACATTACAAACACTATTTCAAGCCACCTTTGGTAACAGTGTACAGTAGCGTACGATGGCCATGGGTGATATTTTTGTACAATGAATAACCCATGTAATATTACATGTATTAAAATTTAAAAAAAGATCAGCACTAAAATTGGCATATACATGAGGAAGTGAACTATGTGGGCTTCATATCTAAAAAAAATAAATGGTTTGAGACTACAATTTTGGGCATTCACAAATCTGTGTCTACACAACAAAAGCTAGCTTTTCATGTAGTCTATTTTTGTACTCGGCACATGTGTAAATATTGTGAAAAATCCACCCAAAATGACCTTTGCTAAAACCTGAGTATTTCTGTTACCAAGTAGGCGATATTTAATTTCAGACAGGTTTTAAGAAAAATATTACTACTTGCGGGGTCAAATTTTGGGTCAAAAATCACGTTTTTTTTGTGCATATTTTGGTGTTTTTTGATGTGGTAACCATGGTTTTTACAAGTCCCAAAACTGGGGAAAACAGTTTTGGGAAAAAAACCCAGTCTTCTAAACAAAATGTAACCAAAATGTAGTTTATAAATATATATATATGTAGGTGTGTTGTACAGGTTGAATTCACTATCCATGTTTATCTGAGACATGGCCTTTATTTTTAGAATCAGGCCATTCCTACTAGTGTACTCTGCTACCTTTGCGGTTAGTTCAGCAGAACATTCTGACATTCTTGACATGTTGGAAGTAGAAGTAGAACCAGTACTACAGGTTAAAAGATATTTTTTTGTTTGTTCCCTCGTCAATACATACCACATTTGATTAAATGGATGAACCCTCTTCCAGCATGATTACAAGGAAAACCAATCCCTGTGATCACATGTTTACATTTGCAGGGCAAGTTTTTGGAGAGCATTTTTCTGTTGGAAAATGATACATTCATGCACATGGTCTATCGTCCAACAATACAGTCAGACGTGTAGCTGCCACGTAAGCAAATAAGCAGTTGCATGCACATCAAAAATTCAAATGTACTATTATATTTTTATATATTTATTTATTTTTGTAGCCGGAATAGTGATTAAATGATGTGTGGTTCAATTGAAAAATATATTAAATTTAACTGTACAACCTACAGCCGACTATCACTGTATCCAGAACCTAGGGTACATGGTGCCAATTTTATTATTAGTATTTTTAAAGTTGTCAACATCGGAAACATGGCTGCAAAGCCAACAAAAAACCTGCATCATCTTCGAAGAACAAGTTGAAATACAACTAAGTCAACGGAGGCGGGTTAATTTTCTGGAATTGATGTATTTTCGTGTTCATTTTTTTCACCAATTAGAGGTAATCCGAATAACAGTTGTTGATTGATTTGTTACTAGATAATTAGGGCGGATATATGCACGGATAGGATCCATCTGAGTTTTATATTCACTTTGCATGCAAATGTAATATGAACAAGAGGCCCATGGGCCTTAACGGTCACCTGATATATTTATACAGAGAGTTGATTTTGTTTTTAGCATGAACAGAAATATTATTCAAAGTGACAAAAAACAATAAAACCACCTTACTCAATATCTAGCATACAGATTTCAGACTAAAAAGGATTTGAAACTAGCACCTCTGATTCTTAACAAGGAAAATGAAGAAATTTTAGCACACTGACTCCTTTGAGCCCCACCCTACAGCCCTTGGGGGTAGGGCTGGTTCAAAATTTTCAAAGTATCAAACTGTCAATTCAAGGTTATAATTCCAATCAAGTTATTAACATGTAATATTCAAAGTATCATTTGCCATTATAAACCATAAT